AATCAAGCTAGGTTATTCTTGCTTCAAAGAGAAGTGCCTGTATTCAGTAAGTTTGTGCCTTTGCAATATTTAAAATAATTTTTTAAGAGACTGACTTACTAAGGATTTTAGAGTTTTAATTGAATGTTTGGTGGATTTGGTTTATATAACAGTATTATGCCAGTTGTATTTCTGTAATACTGCTTCATATTGCCATCAAGAAAGAAGTTAGTATTAACTAAGCTTGTTCATTTGGAATCTTAAAAGAAAGGAGTTTGTTTCATTTTGTTCTTTTAAAATTTTTTTGGCATGTAAGAAGTGACTGTAATAGAAAAAAAGATGAACTGTTTTCTGTCCTACTACACTGTTACCACTGAACATGCTTCTTAACCCATAGGTGTGGGTTTTTTCCCCACACTGACCAATTCTCCAACACCAGCTGGGTCCTGTGATTAATTCAGTTCTCACACTGCCCACCTGGAGTTTGAGTCAGATCCCTCAGAGTAAGAGCTCAGTCCCACAAGCCTGCCTCCACTTGAGATGCCTCTTGCAACTGACCAGCTATAAATTGCGGGTTCTCACAACCTCCTCCGTGGGTTCAGTCATTTGCTAGAGCAATTCACAGAACTCAAGAAAAGCTTTGCTAGCATTAGCCGGTTTATTATAAAGGGCATGACAAAGGATACAGATGAACAGCCAGATGGAAGAGGTGCACAGGAAAAGGGTGCAGAGTTTCCGTGCCCTGCCTGGGCACACTGCCCTCCAGGCACCTCACATGTTCAGTGATCCAGAAGTTCTCCAGATCCTATAGTTTAGGGATTTTCATGGAGGCTTTATCATGTAGGCATGACCAATTATTAACTCAGTCTCTAGCCCCTATCCCCTTCTCAGAGGGATAGGGGAGTGGAGCTGAAAGCATCTAGTCATGGCTTGGTCTTTCTGGTGACCAGCCCACATCCAGAAGCCCACCAAGAGTTGCCTCGTTAGAACAAAAGACACTCCTATCACCCAGGAAGTTCCAAGGGAATAGGAATTCCATGTCAGGAACCAGAATCAAAGACCAAATGTTAGAACAAAAGACACTCCTATCACCCAGGAAGTTCCAAGGGAATAGGAATTCCATGTCAGGAACCAGAGTCAAAGACCAAATGTTAGAACAAAAGATACACACACCACTCAGGAAATTACAAGGGTTTTAGGTGTTCTGTGCTACTATCCAGGGGCAGAGACCAAATATATATTTTTTATTGTATCACAATATCATAGTAACCAAATAGTTTTCTGGATGGATCAAAGTCTTAAGACCTGAGCACACACCTATAGTCCCAGCTACTCAGGAGGCTGAGGCAGGAGGATCACTTCAGCCCTGGAGTTTGAGGCTGCTGTGAGCTATGATTGCCCCACTGCATTCCAGCCTGGGCAACAGAGCGAGACCCGTCTCTTAAAAAAAAAAAAAAAAAAGACCTGAAGTAGTAATCTGGAATCAATAGTAACTCAGGCAAACCTGTGATTAAGTGGCATGAAAGGGTAAATATTATTGTAAGGAAAATTTAAGTCAGATTTTAATTATTAAAACAAAATAAAAACAGTCACTACTCAGAAAAGGACTTGGGCTAGCTTTCCTCAAAGAATGATGGAGGGGGTGCTGTAGGACAGGGAGGGGTGGTGGCAGCAGAGCTGGGGCACACGTTGAATGGGGCATGTGGAACAGCAGGAAGCTGAATAAAGAAAAGAGGGAGCGGCAAAGTCCGGACCATCACAATTTGTGTCATTTCAAAATACTGCACAAAAAGATGCAATTATAGAGTGGAAGGAATGGACTTAGAAGATTTTGCATTAACTAGCCATAATTGAAAATATTGTTCCCTTAGTTGAATAGTAAAAGAATCTTTTGGCCTCAGCTTTCCATAGCTAGGTGTATCAGTTTTGTTATCTCTGTTCACACTAAATTGTTAGTAATTTGTCTGAATTTAAGTGGGATACCCAGACTAGGATGGTCTTTACTTAAACATCTACAGTCTCTTCACCAGAGAGAAAGTAAAATCTTCATATAATATTAGACTAATCTTAACTCAAATATTATGCTTTTATTTTTAATGGAGCTTCTTTTTTTCCTTCCCCTTAACTACTGAACATTTTATTTTCATGTAGTCTTTTCATGGTAAGATTTAAGATCTGCTATGAATTTTTACTTTCTTTTTTTAACTGGAAGGTTGTAATTCTTTTTTTTTTTTTTTTTTTTTGAGACAGAGTCTGGCTCTATTGCCCTGGCCAGAGTGCCGTGACGTCAGCGTAGCTCACAACAACCTCAAAGTTCTGGGCTCAAGCGATCCTCCTGCCTCAGCCTCCCGAGTAGCTGGGACTACAGGCATGCGCCACCATGCCTGGCTAATTTTTTCTATATATATATTTTTAGTTGTCCAGATAATTTCTTTCTATTTTTAGTAGAGACGGGGTCTCGGTCTTGCTCAGGCTGATCTCGAACTGCTGACCTTGAGCGATCCACCTGCCTCGGCCTCCCAGATAATTCTTTATATCTGGAAAAGGGCAGCTTGGTTTCTTCCTTAGGCAGGCACTTATAATTTAGGTTGTAAATTAAGATTGGAAACTTAATACAGGGTGGGTGCTCTAAAGATTTGACCTTGGTTTAAGTTTAGTTATCAGCTTTTGGTTAAAAGCATATTTTGTCTTCTTAATTGACCATTTTGCTTTTTGTGAAAATAGCTTCAAAAGTAGTTGAAAAGTCAGAAAGGAGACTCGTTCTCCCTTCAGAAACCAATCGCATCATCATCTTAGCTGGTGTTAACTGCTTAAGGAAAATTCTTGAGCCTTTTCTTAGTAAATTCAGGGGATACATAATATGTGGCATGGCCACATTTCTGTGGTTTGAAGAATTATATTTGCATTCACACTAGATTTCTAAGCTATTTTCCAAACCTAGAAATGCTCACTTTTCTTTCTTAGAACATGAACATAATACTTTTTAGTGGTTTTAAATGCATATGTTCTTTGAGTAACCTTCAGAGTAATTTTAAGTCATGTTGCCTTATCCTCTGTAAGACAGTGGATCAAATCTCCTCTGCGCTTCATGGTACAGTTACATTGTCATCCTCAATACAAGTGAAGATTTTTTGTTTATTTTTAAGTAATTCCATTTTCATTTTTGTCTTCCCTAATAGTACTTGAATACTGATGATTATACCAAAGTATAGATCTCTGAGATCCTCAGGTTGGCCTAGGAGGGTAGAATAGCTGTTGCCTTAGTAAACATTTTCATTAGTCTGAGGAGGAGATTGAGTAAAGGAAGGAACCAGCACCTCTATTCGTGACTTCTGTGCTATAAATTGATTAGCCAGAGCTCCAAAACAATATATTATTATCAAACTACTTTTTCCCTAAAGCAAAGTATTGGGACCCTTCTTTCTTTGGGCTTTGAACTAAAGTAAGGCAAGCCATTTACACACAGCCAAGAGCAAGGAAACCAGAAAATAGGAAGGTTACATGGAAGGCTTTATTGAAGTAGCTTCTGTCTGATTTTATAGGCGGTCTGAATAGCTTTTTGCTGTGGCAAGCGAGAGGCGGTTCTTATTTAAGAAGGACTGTTTAGGTGGTTCAGGCGCTGAAACCACAGAGAACAGCTCACTGCAGGCGACGTTCCTTCTCAGGGTCACAGAACGAAATCATCCCTTAGTATTCTTTGAAGTTGTGGTCTTCAGTCTTAGTTTTTATCCTTTCCAAAAATGGGGTCCATGTGCATTTTCTTCCATTTGCTTTTAAAGAATTGTACTCTTTAAAAATCTGAATAGTTTCTTATTTTGCCATTCATTTAACATGAAGAAGCTTGATTATTCGTTTCAGTTAGTTTTCCATGACTAATTATTTCTTAAGTATTAACAAGTCCTTTTGATAGTCAAATCAATGATTAAGTTTTGGTCGCAGTTTTGCGCTTTTCCTACTATGGTTGTTAATAAAAGTAGCACATCTTATATAAGTGCACCAAACACTATTAACCATTTTACATATAGTATTTTTTTTTGAGACAGAGTCTCACTGTGTTGCCCCAGCTAGAGTGCCGTGGCGTCGGCCTAGCTCACAGCAACCTCAAACTCCTGGGCTCAAGCGATCCTCCTGCCTCAGTCTCCTGAGTAGCTGGGACTACAGGCATGCGCCACCATGCCGGCTAATTTTTTCTATATATTTTTAGTTGTCCAATTAATTTCTTTCTATTTTTAGTAGAGACAGGGTCTTGCTCTTGCTCAGGCTGGTCTCCAACTCCTGACCTTAAGTGATCCTCCTGCCTTGGCCTCCTAGAGTGCTAGAATTACAGGCGTGAGCTACATACAGTATTAATCGAACTTATTTGTTAAAATGTAAAGTGTTAACACCGATTGAATTTTGAACCAGTAATTCCTAATGTCAGCTAGGTAATGAAGTCATTTTTACCCATCCCTTCAGTCCCTTCATCCCCTTAATTATACTTACCTAAGCATGTTAACCTGCCTTGAAAACTAAACTGTGCCTCTCCTGTTTTAGTTTGACTTTATAAAAAATCCTATCTCCCTTTATTTGTATAATTTGAGATCCTGTGTCTCAGCTCGTCAGCCTTTACAATTTGATCTATTAAAGAATTTGTGTGTTCCCAAGTATTTAATAGCTTTCTAATGATTTACTATTAAAATTCTAAAAGTAGGTAAGAAAAGCAAGGAATTTGGTGAAATCTTAATTACATAAATGTCAAGGTATCCTTAAATGAATTTTTGTTTGTTCGTTTAAATCATCTCTTAGGCTCAGTAGAAAAGAAGCAACAGAGAAGATCAATCAGAACTCGTTCTGAATCAGAGAAATCCACTGAGGTTGTGCCAAAGAAGAAGATCAAAAAGGAGCAGGTTGGCTTCCTACATGTAGAGAGTTAAAACGTTGTATTTGTAAATGTTGTGGCTTCTCTTGGTACCCTAAAAGAAAGAGAAGCTGTCCCCACACTGGGTTTCCTTTCTGGACTATCTTACGCTCCCGTCCTGGAGGGTTGCGGTGCCCAATTCTGGTAGAACCAGCCCTGTGATTCTGCTTCAAGCATTTTCACAGAAAACAGTCAGGCTTCAGGAGACGGGAAGCCAGTGGTGCAAGACTCTTAAATAATCTTCACATTTATTTTGAAATTTCTGTTATGAGCAAAATGATTTTATGTTTTTATGATTTTTATTTGGAACCATTATTGAGTTCCTTTTTTTTTAATTTTGATTTTTGGTTTAAGCTGCTGGTATGTATTGTTTTTATTTTTTAAACCAATCAAATTAATTTATATTCTTATATTTAAGAAGCAGATAATCATAGATGATCTGGTTTTTCTGTTAATATCACAGATTTTTTGGAATGTTATTTTCCCAGTGGAATGGCACTCACCTGGTATCAGGTTGTCAGATGAACAATATTTAAGCAAAAAAGGTAGGGAGTGCATTTTGACTGAAGTGTATTAATCCAGTGTAATCAATGTAGTAGTATACATGTTAAATTACCTTTTTCAAAGAAATTTTTAGAAACTATTCTCCTTTAAGCTCACAATCAGATTCTTTTCTTAATTATTTTAAAGTGAAAGAATATCCATTTTTGCAGCCTAGATACCTGCTATTAAAACAAATTCCAAATAGAATTAGTTCCAGTAAGTTTTATATTTTTAAAATCATTTAATATGGAAGAATGTGGACTTTTCTATTAAAATATTTCCTTCCAAATTTTAAACTTCCAAATTTAAAATCTAACTTTGTGGGTGCTCTATGGTATTGCCAAGCATATAAGACAAATTTTCCAGAATACTTAACTAAAATTTAAGTCATATACTAATTTATCATTCATTTATCATATTAACTTTCATACTTAGGAAATTATATTCCAAAAAATCTTTCTAAGCTCTTGCAAATCTACAGTATTCATTACCAAGATGAAGTTGTGATTTTTGCCATCTGGTTCCCAAATTCAATCTGTGACCAATCAGTTTAAAATTAATAAGCAGAATGAGTACAAAAAATGGGACAAATTGTTAATGCCACTGTGTTATAGCTAGTAGTAGAATAATGCCAGTGATTGTTTAGAAGATTTTATATTTGTATTACTAATTGTATCTTATAAAAGCGTTTCTGTTGTATGTTTTTTTACCTGTTGTAAAAAAAATAAAAAAATTTTTTTAAAAAGCTTAGAACAATCCTTAAATATTTACAAAATGTGTTTCAACATGCATATTTCACCACATCTTAAAAAAACATGAAATTCAATTCATAGCTTAAACAGGAACTCCACCAAACAGCATCCTTTCTCTGATTCCAATGGTTCAATCCTCAAATTACCACGTGTTTTACATATACATTGGCAGAATAACTTCTGATCTCGCTCTCCTAATGTAGGATCAAGACACTGTTCATAAGACACTCAAGAAAGTGCTTTTGCAATATCACAAACTTATTTTCTTAAGTTTGTACTAGCAGCAAAAGTATTGAGCTTGCAGCTGTATGGAGCCCTGTAGCACTCTCTACAGAGAGGGTCCTGATTCCCAGCAACTTAGCTGTGAGTGCAGGCGCGGAAGGGTCTTAAAGTGGCGTGAGTTACATTAACCTGAGTATCATAGTAAGTAAAAATTTATCCTAACGTCTTTGGGGCGGGAGGGGTTTATAGCAACACTGGGGCTGGTTGCAGAAACAACCCCTCTCCTGCCTCCCAGACACTGAGGAAAGTATTCTTGTTCTCTTCATATACCAAGGGAATGGTGGGAAAAGTCTTTGCTAGAGAGCATGTGGCTGTGTGTTGTCACTTGGTATTCAGCACAGGCAGCTAAGATCTTGAGACAGAGAACTGTACCCAGAAGATGGGACTGAGTTCAGATTTCAGATACATTAATCACTCATCATTACTTAGATTTATGAAAGTATTTTTTCTCTCTGTTAATAACTAAAAGTGAAAAAAATTCCTTGTTAATGCTGTGTCTTTCTGTCCAAACAGGTTGAAACAGTTCCTCAGGCTACAATGAAGACTGGATTACAGAAAGGTGAGTTAATATTATAATGTTGCTTTGCAATTCCTTGATTAAAACCAATTTTTAAGAATGACTTATTTGTACTTCATGTATTTTTGTCTGTCTCTGTAAATCATTGTTGTTGCTCTTCAGTGTGAAATTGCAGTATTCCCCGGGGTGTGTGTGTGTGTGTGTGTGTGTGTGTGTGTGTGTATGTGTATGTGTGTGTGACTTTTAAGAGTTGATCTTACTCTTATGAAAAGTAAGTCTCTTACGAAAAGTGAAAAGTCTTATTTGTTTTGGTAAATTGGAGAACACCACGTAGACTTGATACTGTTTCCAACTTTTCTCCATAAGATTCTGGGGTTTCACTGGCTTATAAACTAGGGATGTGACGAATCCACTTTTTTAGGTATTCGACTGAATACCGAATAGTAGCTATTAATGTTTGTCAAACATGGACTATGACAAATCAGACAAGACAACCTGATTGAAAAAATCTTGCCACATTTATTTTTACAGTGCTGTAAAATCTTTTTTTGTAAATTAAAATGGTTCATAGCATATTTATGGCCACTATTAGATGACCTTATGTGAATCTATTTGAGATATGCACAAAGTTTAAGAAACCTTAAACTTATATCTGTATTTTCTGTGTGCAATTTGACTACAGTACAAACTCCATAGCATGATTCGTGCGTTTTTGGTGAGCTCAAACTGTATTTATACCTGTAGTTTACTCTGGGCAAATTGCATTATTTAAAAAAAAATAAAACACCAGCCTCTCTGCATTCTCGGGGAGAAGTCTGCAGCGATGGTCTCCGTGGAGATCCTCAGCAGAACTGAACAGCCTCTCGGAGGGAACACTGCTTGGCGGAGCTCCAAGAAAAGGCATCGCGATCGCTGCGAGATTAGGAGGCCTGATTGCGTTGTGTTTCCACCATTCCACAGGGTCGGCGGACCGGGGAGTGCAGGGCTCTGTCAGATTCAGTGACAGCTCCGTCTCCGCAGCGATTGAGGAAACTGTGGACTGAGATTCCTGTACAATTTCATCCCAGAAACTCCAGACTTGTAGTCTCCATGCAAGATTTCTTTGTCGGCTGCTTGATAAACAGTTTCTTTGTTTTCGATTTGGATTTTGCCAGTCGTCATTATTGGCATTTTCCTGCCTGGTTTCTTCTTCAAGACTCTGAACAATTGCTTTAACGTTCAAATGATTTTTTTTTTTTTTTTTTTGGTCTGAGCTGGATGGGTACAGCTTTTAAATCGTGGGTCCAGCCTAAAAACCACCGTTTAACGTACACTGATCAATTTCAACATGGACTGTTTTTGGTTTTTTGTTTCTAAATAAAGCATCATTAATGCACATCTGCAGGGTTTTGCCAAACAGCCCAACTGTATACATTACAATCATTAAAAGCTTTTTTTTTAAATATTAGTGCCGTTGTCATGGAGAACAGCATGACAGCTGCCTTTGGCAGTCTGTCATTTTTCTAGCATTTTCAGAAACTCATCGGAAATGGCGGTACCTGTGTTTCCCTTCGAAAGCCTCTCAGTACAGCACTCCTGTTCCTCTGTTAAACTCCTTGTTAATCCAGTGATCTTTTAGACCAAGGAAATACTTTGTGGTGGTGTTCTGGGTCCATACACCAGCAATGAAGGAGATAGATTTGTGTACTTGTGTTTTTAAATCAGCATTAACATGGGCAGGCACCCTCATTTATAGATGTCAGGAAACATTCAGTGAAAACCTTGTAGAATGGGATGTGATAACGAGGTTCCAGTAATCTGAGCAGTCTAACGAGGCCCACATCCTCCAGCACAGACCGTGGCTGTGTACCAAGTGCTGCTCTCACTCAGCCTGTCTCGGATCTTCCTGGCCTCGGGAGACTTGTTTCTCCGTGGTCTCTTCTGGACTGCACACTTCCACCATAGCTTGCTGGGCTGATCTAGATGTCTGTCTGTTGTATGGAAATTTTGGGGGAAAAAATCCAAAACACAAACTGTGGGTTGAAATATTAACCGTCTCCTTGGTTCCTTGGTATTCACCGTGCCTGATCTGCACATTTCATCGTGGCTGTTTCTGTATAGCCTATACTGCATTAGCCCAAGAGATTGTTGCTTTGTAACTTTTTGCACTATTGTTTTGGCTGGATTTGTATTACACACAGTTTTAAAAAAAAAAAAAATTCCACACTACTCTCTGCCTTTTTTTTCCATATTTATTCCTTCCCGCACAAATTCCGCACAGAGGCCTCCCATCCAGCTCTGCGTGACCTGGCTGCACGTCACAGCCCCCGCAGCGCGCCTCCCGAATGGCATGACACGTAGCTGTGCTGCAGCACTTGCTAATGGTCACAATAAATGCCACTTCACCAAGTCTCAGATGAACGATTACGAACATCCAAAATTTATTTGGGGGGCAATAATCAACCGAATTTGCAAAATTCAGGGGAAAATGGCACTATCCGTGTACGAATCGAATACAAATCAAAGATTTGTCACATCCCTAATAAAAACAAGGTGGAGATGTCTCTGCGACCATATTTGTAAGCTACACAGTGTGTTGGGTTTTATGTCTTCCCCCTCCAAATTGAATGGTTCTTCGAATTGCTCCAAATCAATCAGCTGTCCTGCAGTTTTGATAGAATTGGTTTTTAGGTTGGAACTTGGGCTCTGTTGACTGAAGATAGCTTTAGAGCAGGAGAACTGAATTAAATGTTTTGATAGAGCCGTTGTAAATTAAATCACTCACTACCAGGAAGGTCAGAAGCTCATGAAGTTTTGACTCATGACTTCAGTGTTACAAAGAGAGCTGTGCTTTTTTCACACTAAAGATGAGTTCGGGGAAAGAATATATTCTCCCACAAAAAAAATTAAAACAACTTGAAGCACTATTTTAGGATTAATTTCAGTGTGTTGTATTAAGGTGCCAGCGAGATTTCAGATTCCTGTAAACCTCTAAAGAAAAGGAGTCGCGCCTCAACCGATGTAGAAATGACTAGTTCAGCATACAGAGACACATCTGACTCCGATTCTAGAGGACTCAGTGATCTGCAGGTAAATATGTTCAAAGGTCTGCACACTGTGCTGTTTTTGCTTTGCAAGACCAAAGTAGCATAATGCTTTTGCCTGACGTATTTGGAAAAATCAGGGAAAATTTTTAAATACTCATAGGATACCCAAATCACTTTGGTTATTTTGTAATTGAAGAGTGCTTTCATTTTGTTGTTCTTTTATATAACAGAAGTATAGTTTATCTTTCATTTTAACTACAGTTTGTCCCCAAACTGCAGAGATACGGTCTCCATGGTTTTTAGAAAGAAAGAGAGGACGAATGAAATTGTGTCAAGATTTATTTAAGAAAGTCTTACTAGGATTTTCATAGCATCTAATTTTGAGGAGATTTTTATTTTCTTTTTCTTAAAAATGTGCTATGTTTTCCGTGTAGGTAGGCTTTGGAAAGCAAGTAGATAGCCCTTCAGCTACTGCAGATGCAGATGTTTCTGATGTGCAGTCCATGGATTCGAGTTTGTCAAGAAGAGGCATTGGCATGAGTAAGAAGGACACTGTATGTCAGGTAGGCAGGCGACAGTCGATCCTATGGCTTGAAACTATTGTTACCGAATTCTGCCAATAATAGACGCACCTCCTGTTAAAGAGGGCACTACGTTGCTAAATTGTGATATGACTTCATAGCTGAAGATCTGAAAGCTCTTTCTAGCTCTTCTCTTACATGCAAGTGCCAGTCTTCATTGCAATAAACTGTAATTAATTGGAAGTAAATGGCAGATGACTAATTTCAAAGCTTTTCTTAAATTCGAGTTCATATTAACTTTTTAAATGTATTTTTACCCTTTTTGAAAAATACTGTTTTGCCTTGTGAAGAAACATGAAAGTATGCAGATCTCAAAGAAGGAGTCATAAAAGATCAAGTATGACTTTTAAACTTTTTACCATATTGGGTCTGGAAATACTGTAATTGTCTAGTTCAGTGGTTCTCAAAGCGAAGGCCAAGGAACAGCAGCATCATCAGGATACTGTTAGAAATGCAAATTCTTGGGCCCCACCCCAGACCTACTGAATCAGAGCCTTTGGGCTCGGGACCCAGTAATCTGTTTCAAACAAGCCCTCCGTGTGATTCCCATGTTTGTTAAAGTTTGAGAACCGTTGCTTTTTGCCATATTGCAGATCTGTGAGAGCTCTGGTGACTCTCTGATTCCCTGTGAGGGGGAGTGCTGCAAACACTTTCACCTGGAGTGCCTGGGCTTGACGTCACTCCCCGAGGGAAAGTTCATCTGTGTGGAATGTAAAACCGGTAAGCTTGCTCACTGCGACAGATACGGAGAGACGAACAGGGAGGAAGAGGAACGTGCAGTGGGAACAGTTCCCAGGCATCAAATTCTCATCACTTTTATCTGGTCCTCCTCCTCCCCCCATAAGTGCTTCACCAAAGTTATTGGTACCATTCAGTGATTAGGCTTCCCAAGATCAAAAGAGTAGTCAAATTTCCTCCTACCATAAAATCTAGCAGATTATTGAGATGAATTTGTTTTATCTAAAGAGTTATACAAAGTATGTGCATCGAGTTATTTTTTATTTATTTGTTTTATCTAAAGAGTTATACAAAGTATGTGCATTGAGTTATTTTTCAGATAGGTTTGAGACTTTTTGTGCTCGATAAATTGGTTTAAGGTCCTTAATGGACTGGAGCAAGTATCAATCAAAACTTACAACCATGATGATTATATTTTTTAGTGGAGATATGGAGCTTCTGGAAACATTTTTTAAAACTTGAGATTATTTCTTATCCCACAGTTATTTCTTATCCCACTATCCTTAGAGTACCACCTTTCAAAATAATGTACAGAAAAATAAATGTGCTAGCTTCTTCTCTATGTAGCCGTGATGCTGGTTAAAGTCATGGAAAGCAGGAAGTGGTGTTTAGTCTGTAACAGCATGGCAAGTGAAAAATCAGTTGGAGATGGCATGGTAGTGCTTCTAGGAACCGTGTGTGTGCTCTCTGGTTTGCTTTGGTTTTGTTTTAGCTATGAAGAACTAAGAGTTAATTGGATATCAAGTATATGTGATATGCTCGTCTCACCCTTGACTGTCTATTTTTCTACTCCTTTTTCCCCCTTTATTTTAATTCTCACAGATATTTATTTTATCCTTTTTTATTTGATTATACTCCTCCTAAAATCCTTTAGATAAAAAGTTGACAATTTTTTTTTTTTTTTTTTTTACCAAACATTGACTTACCAAATGCAAGGTGCTGTTAAGCATTTTATCCTAGTACCTCATTTGATCCTCATAACATTATGAGATATAGGTATTATTACTATTTCCATTTTTCAGAAGGGAAAACTGAGGACTAGAGAGTTAATACCCTGCCGAAAGTCACAAAGATAGCATATGAAAAAAATGGAATTTAAACCCAGGCAGCTTGACTTCAGAGTCCTTGCACTTTACCATTGCCTTCTACCCCCTTGGCTAAGTAGGATGGACATCATATGTCACAAATCATATATCCTAACACATACACACACTCAGTCACATACACAAATTAAGCCATGGAAGCTGTTGAGAACATATGATATATTTTTTCTATATAAAATATTTTATTCATCACATTTAGACCCTGCAGGAAAACTTTTGAACAGTTTACCAACTGGCAGTCTCAGGGTAACAACTGCAATGTTTTATTTGGCCTTCAGAATGTGTTTTCATTTTTGAACATGGATTGGGCATATACTTCTGGCTGCCCACATTCCCAGTCATTCCTTTTTCTAAACCTCTGTCACTCCAGTCACTTAGGTAACCTGCATGGCCCTTTTAAGAATTCAAGTATGTAATCCCAGATTTAAACTATTGATAGGAAGGACCATGTATCTCAGTATTAAAACATTCTTACGGCTCCTTTCTTAACTCTAGAATCCAGTAGAATTCTACCAAAAAAGGTTAGATATAATCCAGTTTGGTATATATCTATTAGGAAATTTAAGAGGGAAATATGCTGTAAAAATAATTAAGTAGAACAAGGTCAGAGGACTCATACTTCGTGATTTCAAAGTTTACTACAAAGCCGCAGTAGTGCAAACAGTGATAGTGCATAGATTGACATGCAGACCAATGGAATAGACTAGAGAGCCCAGAAATAAGCACTTGCATATATGGCCAATTTTTTTTGACAGGGTGCCAAGACCATTCAGTGGGCAAAGGGCAGTCTTTTCAACAAACAATGCTAGAAAAATTGGATATACACACATAAGAATGAAGTCAGACCCTTAACCTAACACTATAAACAAAAACAAAAATCAACTCAAAATGGATCAAAGAGCAAAATATAAGAGCTAAAACTATAAAACTCTTAGAAGAAAACATAGGGAAAAAGTTTCATGACATTGGATTTGGCAGTGGTTTCATAGATGTGACACCAAAGGCACAGGCAGCAGAAGGAGAAACAGACACATTGGGCTTCATCAAAATTAAAAACTTCTCCCAGCACTCTGGGAGGCTGAGGCAGGAGGATCACTCAAGGTCAAGAGTTCGAGACCATCCTGAGCAAGAGCGAGACCCCGTCTCTACTAAAAATAGAAAGAAATTAGCTGGACAACTAAGAATATATAGAAAAAATTAGCCGGACATGGTGGCGCATGTCTGTAGTCCCAGCTACTCGGGAGGCTGAGGCAGGAGGATCGCCTGAGCCCAGGAGTTTGAGGTTGCTGTGAGCTAGGATGACGCCATGGCACTCTAGCCCGGGCAACAGAGCAAGACTCTGTCTCAAAAAAAGAAAAGAAAAAAAAAATTAAAAACTTCTATACACCGAAGGATACTGTCAAAACAGTGGAAAGACAACTCGAGGAATGGAAGACATTATATGCAAATCATTTCTGATAAGTGATTAATACCCAGAATAAATAGAGGGCTCCTTCAACTCAACAGCAAATAAACAAACAACCCAGTTCAAAATTTGGCAAAGAACTTGAGCAGGTATTTCTCCAAAAAAGTTATAGAGGTGGCCAGTAAGCACATGAAAATGTGCTCAATACAATTAGTAATCAGGGAATGCAAATGAAAAACACAGCGAGATGCCACCTAACACCCGTTAGGATGGCTAGTATTAAAGAAACAGAAAACAATGTGTTAGCCAAGACATGGATAAATTGGAACCCTTGTGCATTGTTGGTGGGAACGTAAAGTGGTGTCGTGGCTTTGAAAACAGTATGGCAGTGTCTCAGAAAATTAAACAGTTACCGTATGTTCCAGCAATTCCACTCTAGGTATGTACCCAAAAGAAATGAAAGCAAGGATTCCAGCAGATATTTGTACACCCATGTTCACAGCAGCATTATTCACAATAATCAAAAAGTAGAAACAACCCAAATGTCTATTAATGGATGACTGGATAAACAAAATGTAATGTGTACATACAATGCAATATTATTCAGCCATAAAAAGAAATGAAATTCTGATAACATGCTACAAAATGGATGTACCTTGAAGATATTTTGTTGAGTGACATAAGGACAGAAAAGGACAGATAATGTGTGTTTCCATTTATATAAGGTGCCCAGAGTAACCAATTTCTTAGAGACAGAAGTAGAATGGTGGTTACCAGGGTTGTGGGGGAGGGAGTTGGGGAGTTGTTTAACAGGTACATAGTTTCAGTGGGGACAATGAAGAAGTTCTGGAGACAATGATGGTTGCACAACAATGCGAATGTACTTAATGCCACTTAACTGTACACTTAAAAATGGCTAAAATGTTAAACTTCGTTTCATATATATATAGTTTCATATATATATATATTTACTACAATTATAAAAAGCGATTAAGTGATTTTGATTTATTTATGACATGACTAATTTGGTACAATTCTAACATTAGAAATGAGAACTCAGATTCTTCAAACCATTGTTTATGGTCACATAGGCAGTTTCCCCTTGTTTATCAAATGGTAAACACTTTACATGTAAAAGTATTACAGGATACATCCCTAATAAGTTCTTATAATGCCACTTTCTATTGTTTAAAACAAATGTGATTTCTAGAAAGAAAGCATTTTCACTTACTCTTTTGAATAAAATGTGTAATAAAAAGAGACTACAAAAAGAGTTCAGTAACAGATAATTTTACTTATCACTTACTTATTCCTCCTCAACCCCCATCTCCAGTCCTTGACTCAGGACTGACTTGGACTTATTCTTTTTTTTTTGGAGACAGTCTGTTGCTCTGTTGCCTGGGCTAGAGTGCAGTGGGGTGATCATAGCTCACAGCAACCTCAAACTGCTGAGCTTGTGATTTTCCTGCCTCAGCCTCCCGAGTAGCTGGGACTACAGGCACGTGCCACCACACCCAGCTAATTTTTCTATTTCTTGTAGAGACAGGGTCTCCGTCTTGCTCAGGCTGGCCTGAAGTAATCCTGGCCTCAAGAGTGCTAGGATTACAGGCGTGAGCCACCATGCCCGGCCCAGACTAATTTATTCTTAATGGAGACCGGTTCCTAGTGGGAGGGGAGGATATTGGAAACATTCACATGCTAGAGCTTTAGTCTTAAAGAGATTTGGTAGTTAAAATGTCTGTTAGCATAGCAATTGCACTA